TGTGTGTGTGTGTGTGTGTGTGTGTGTGTGTGTGTGTGTGTGTGTGTGAAGTGATGTGACACCGAGTGTGGGTGTACTTGACAATCGTATCTCTAATGAAGCGGTCCCATGGTGAGGCGATAGAAATCTACCAACTGGTCAATCTTTGGTTCAGCAGTCAGTAACACGCACGCATTCCCTCGTGTACCTGAGTCCAACTACAAACCTGAGTTTTTGCGCACATCGGGCTGCTCCCGGTTTCTTTTAGGTCGCCCTACCATTTCAACAAGTACCTCTCACTTCTCCTCAGTTAACTATAAAGCCTCCTCTCCTTTTACCCTTAAACACCTTTCACTTTCACATAAGCTCCCCTCCTTACAGCCATACTCTCAAAAAAAAATGTAATCGTCATATTAAAATGATTACTTAGGTCTTGTCTTCAGATCTCATATGTCAGTCCTTGAGATAATTTACTCGCTGATGCGCTAAACCTCGTGAGTCAGATGACTGAAATACGGACGAAAATATTTGTCTCACCGGTGTGCTGATTGAAGCCGTTTTTCTTCTTCGATGTCGCCTGCCAGACTTTCCTTCTTCTCCACTCTTTGTCCCGCACACTCCACTGCGCACACGACCACCTTATTTCCCCATGAAGCGGCTGCACACCTTGAGATTGTTTGCCAATCTGTGCGCTCCTGCAGCTGCTTCCTCGCCACTCATTTAGATATTCATAATCTTTGTCATCACATGCATAATCCAGTTCAGCTCAACACATACTTCGCAAAACAATTAAAAGATTTCTTTAGTTGCTATTAATACAGAAATTTCATGTTTATTTAGGTCTAAACCTGACACGACGTATTTGAGAGTATGACAAAGTCTACTTGTTTAACAAATAACTTTTTTAACTTTATTCTAACGTCTTTTTGTTATTTTAAATACCTCTCTATAGAATACCGGTTTGTGAATATTATAATTAACAAATCGGGTGATGGTTCACTGCACTCCCACATCAGCACCTTAGAGTTTAAGTCTCGTTTCAATCCTCGGAAGCAGAAATAGTCTGACTCACTTTTGGTCATATTTATATTTTTTCGTTTACTAGAAGAAAAATATACTTTATAAAAAAGTGGCAGCATTTTTTTTCAAACCCGTCTAACAATCTGTCACTTGTTGACAGTTATTTCACGTCTTTGGAATAATGAAGACACTAACTTTAAAGTTCCAAGCATTAAGGAAATCTTGATTGATTTGTGAGAGCTGCCAGGGACATGAAGACAAACTGCAGCAGGCTCCGTGCACTCTGGCGCCATCCTTCCTCGGGCTGTGGGATCAACGCCGCGCTTCTCATCCACGCTCCTCACAGCTTTATGCTCTTTGGCTGCCTGAGGTGTCTGTCAACGTGAAGGGGAAGAAAAAAGTGTTTTAGAAGGAAAAATCTGAGCAATTCTTCTATTGGTAGGCGGGCTGGTCGTGAAGGGAACAATCAGGTTGATTTTGCCAGGGAGCCACCTCAAAGCATATCAGGTTACTTTGAGTGACAGCGTAACCATGGCAAATAATTTGACTAAGGCTATTGTCTTATCCTCACCATCCGTGGGTCAGATAACCGACCAATCAGAGTTCATATAATCGCTTGTCTTGCCAGCTTAGAATAATATTATTAAAACGAGCCAGCGAGCCCGGTCTCCGGGAGTAGTTTATGTTGAAACGGCATAGAAAAGGTGGAGGACGGTGGAAGGAGTTGCAACTTTCTTTCTTAGCAACTTTATGGAGAATAGTCGCCTGGGGTTTCGCATGGCTGAACGGACTTGAGCTTATTCCATAATACGCAGTTGGACTTTGCCTAACCTTGGGCACTTTTACGTTTTAGGTAACTCTTTTGGGGACTTTTTGACGCTTATGGACTTAATGCGTTTTGATTTAATGAGACACTGAGAGGAGAGACGTGGAAGTAAGGTACAATATAATCTGTATTGGTTTACTTGTCGCCATGTCCATGCTTCCGACGTTTGGTTTTACGCAAGAACAAGTGGCTTGTGTCTGCGAAGTCCTCCAGCAAGGGGGGAACATCGAGCGTCTTGGGCGCTTTCTGTGGTCCCTCCCGGCGTGCGAGCACCTCCACAAAAATGAGAGTGTTCTCAAAGCGAAAGCCGTAGTTGCTTTTCATCGGGGGAACTTCCGAGAGCTCTACAAGATCCTGGAGAGCCACCAGTTTTCGCCGCACAACCACCCGAAGCTGCAACAGCTGTGGCTCAAAGCGCACTACATCGAGGCAGAGAAGCTGAGAGGCCGTCCGCTCGGCGCCGTAGGGAAGTACCGCGTCCGGAGAAAGTTCCCCCTGCCCCGCTCTATCTGGGACGGAGAGGAGACGAGCTATTGCTTCAAAGAGAAGAGCAGGAGTATCCTCCGAGAGTGGTACACCCACAACCCTTATCCATCCCCACGGGAGAAAAGAGAGCTGGCCGAGGCCACGGGACTCACGACCACGCAAGTCAGCAACTGGTTCAAAAACCGACGGCAGAGAGATCGAGCGGCTGAGGCAAAGGAAAGGTAGGAGTATATTTACTTCTTAAAACAGACGCTAATCTCAGATTAGATTATCTTTTTTCTTTATCATTGTCACATCAAGCAAAACATAGGAGGTAGTTCCAAACTGTTGCTGAGTCACAGACTGCCACTGCTGACTCTGTATGCAAAAATAAATTTCTGACCTACATCTGGAAATTTATTTAACGTAGATAGCATGGACATATTCTCAGATCTTATTCAATCGCCACAAATTAAAGTTACACTGTGTGTATTTCTGTGATAACTGTATAAGCCCCTATTAAAAGTTGAAACGCACGAAATGAAAGACGTGTTGTCAGGTAAATTACAAGGTTATAAAAGTTGCTTTTACCCCACTTTAATGTTTTAGTAACCACACTAATTATAACATGAAACTTGACTTTCACGTTAAGATCAGAGAAGAAATATATGCAGACTACTGTGAATCACAGACACTGGATGAACACATGGTATATGCAAGGAAACATATCAGAACACGTATGAAAGATGTTTTGCGGTGTAATTGGTGTGGCCTGTTGTCTGGCCTTCATATCAGCCAGGCTGACATTTCATTATGAGTCGTTTGCACATTTCAGAGTTTGGAAATTATACAGCCAGGCATGTAGAGAGGTGCGGGAGATGTGTTTTTGTCAGGTGTTCACTGGGTCGGTGTCTTCTTTCACCCCCTGGCCACTAATTTGGGCTGAAAGCTCCACGTAAATCATGTCTTCCCACTGAGAAAAGCCTCAAAGCAAACCTATGAACTATGCCATACGCAGTACGCACGCGTTTCAGAATGATTAGGCCTGTCATTTATTTAGAGCTGTGGACAAGCTCTCCTCGAGTGGCCGAGGACTTCCTCAGGTTGAGCTTCTCCACGGGTCACTATGGTTAAATTAACTTGCTCTAAAAGTTTCATGCAAGTTCAGTAGTCAGATGGATTTATTATCTTCCAGTCACTCTCTACTACTGATATTTAATATAGCGCTTCTGTAGTGAATTGACCCTCTAATTATTTTTGCTGGCTAAGTGATTGCATCTGGGCACACGTGCCTCAACGTATTCTCGTGTGAACATTAATAAATAACCAGACTAAGAACTGATACATTAATGAGATTATTATGGCTGTTGTAAAAGTGTCACAACCCAATAAATATTCTAGTAAACACAACAGAATTGTGTGTACCACTTTAATTCAAGTGTGTGTTCATGTTCATATTTTTAATGCAATCTTAAACATGTTAAGCTACAATTAGCTGGTGTCTTTGTTCCTGTAGGTTTTACTCCGAGATATGAAAATTTCAGTTCACCTAAATCTTCCTGGTTGTTATGCACTTTTTCGCAGATGTGCTGTAATTCCGCATTTGTACCAAACTGATGTGTGACTTTGGTTTCTGTTCGCAGAGAAAACAACGAGAACTCCAACGGCAACAGTCACAACCCATTGACTTCTTCTATTAATGGAAATAAAACTATTTTGGGGAGCTCGGACGACGATAAAACACCTTCTGGGACTCCGGATCATACGTCTCCGAGTCCGGCTCAGCTCCTCGGCGCAAACCCCGGTTTACCGTCCCTGCATGGCCTTGCGCCCCCGCCGGGACCCAGCGCAATCCCGGTACCCAGCGGCCCAGACTCGATGCACCATCACCACTCATTGCATCATGACACCATACTGAACCCTATGTCTTCTAATCTAGTGGACCTCGGCTCTTAAAAGCCGTCACTGAATGGAGCGCCATTTTTTGGGGAAAATAATTTACGAGGTGGTGTGAGTTAAGCTTCAAGCACTTGCGGCACGGTGCAAGGCAGACAGACTGGAACACTGCGAAAACAGCCACCGTAACAAATCATTTAGTCTCATATTCAACCTTTAAAATCTTTTTCAACAAGTGGAGAGAGGAAAACCTGCCAGTGAGCGCAACACCTCCTCTTATCCCCAAACTGAACGAGCCCTTGTTTCGGGGATTTTCTAGAATCAAGAGTTCAGAGCAGAGCACTTAAGAACTTTCCAAATATACTTAAACAGGACCCTACCGAACTTTTCCCCCTCGTTAATTCGCTTGAGGAAAATATAATTTGGAAAAAGTAAGTAAAAGTAGTAGTTTCTTGAGATGGCTTGTTTTGCTGCAGGGCTGGGGATAAAAAATTGATAAAAAGAAAGAACAGAAGAAAAGAAGGAAGGAAGAAAGAAAACTTTACCGGAATGTAAAAACGTAATATGTTATATTGTTGAAAACAATAACAATAAAGTGTCTTAATTCTTGTTACTATTAGCCTACAGTTGTTATTTTAGGGGTTTAGATTAACCTTTATCACCAGACTCTATGGGCACAAAGTTACGTGTACCCATCGCCTTTCTGTTTACATGGGGTTTTTAAAGAGAGCCATAAACGGTTATTTTTGTTTGTTTGTTTGTTTGTTTGTTTGTTTGTTTGTTTGTTTGTTTGTCTGGGGGAGGGTGGGCTGATGGAGTATGCCAGTTAAACGTGTCTCATAGGGGCTGTGATAAGATAAAATATTCTAACCCCTTGATATTATTGTTATAATTATTTGCATTTTAATTTGGGGAGAGACTGCATGTAAACTCTGCGATAAATGATGAAACATAAAACGATTCACCTATAGTTTCATATACCCTTTACAATAAAAAAAAAAGAAACACGTGGAATAAAGTCGAGAATTTCTTTGATTCTGAATGATTCTTGACATTTTCTTGGCATTTTTTTGTCTCTTACGGGTCACCTCCTTATAATATTATAAAACCATATAAGCTGGAGGACAAAATATATAAAACGTATTTTAGAGAATCTGCACGTAAACGTCGATATTTACAGTGTTGCAGAAATATTGCTTGAACGATAGTATTTAGGATTTATGATAATTTGTAGTTTCAGTTGAGGATACTTAGATATTTTTCCCTTCAGCTCATTTATGTAATTTTAAATGCAGAACAACGCACAAACCATGTATTCAGCCTTATTTCCTCAGGCTTTTTAAATGTGCTCTGAGCCACCACTTCCCAACGTTAGGAAAATACATGATCAGATATTACTGAAAATCAAAAGCTGTTAGCCTCTGACACATATATCTCCTGCAAGAAGATAGATAGATAGATAGATAGATAGATAGATAGATAGATAGATAGATAGATAGATAGATAGATAGGTTTTTCAATTTTAAGGACATGAGGTCAAAGTTCATCCAAGTGATTATTGCCGATTTTTTGTTTCTTTTTAAGAAAAGCTCCGCACGCAGTCCAATGTTTTGTAAAAACATCACTCGAAGCATGTGGCATGTGGCCATGGCAGGCAAAGCTGGGCGAAATTTAGCAGTGCTTCTCCAACTGGGAACCCTGACGTTCGAGTGATGACACCTTATCTTTCCGCGCTCAGTCCGGGAGAACAAAAGTACCGTAGTGTTTGGAGTAGGAAAAAAACAGAACTGGAAACGACCGCTGAAAGAAGACACTTTGTTTGAACAGCTTCAGCCGCGCAACACCTCCAGCCTCCCTCCCGCCCCCTCCTCCCCTCTGCTGCCTGATCAGTTCGTGCAGAATAAACCTAAAAAAACATCTTTTCTGCCTTTCATATTTCCATCATAAAGCTTTAGTACCTCCCCTATTTCAGGTTTCGACAGGCCGGCGCGTGCTCGGTGTATTTTCTGGTGTCTTCTGTATCTTCATATCAGAATATAACAGTAGCTTATAGTTTATAATTTTCTTACATATTGCATGTTTATATTGATAAATGTTACACATTATGCATGATATACTATAATATTATTTTACAATATTACTCGCATTTTAAAAACAAAAAACGATGCCAGCATATAGTTCATTGTTAAGTGGGTGTTTTGGTTCACATGTTAATGGGTTGCAAACATTTTTTTTATATTTGAAACAAGGGCGAAACACTCTTTTATTCGTTAATAAGTTATCCTGTAGACCCAGGTGGCTCTAATGGGAGTGCAAATATGAGAAGTGCTCTCAGAGAGTGCGCGAACTGTCTGTAGATGTGAAATATCGGTCACAGCTTCCTGGGAACAGCTTCCTGCGCCTGAAGGTCAATTACATATTCAACACAAAGCCCACAGGTTGTAATTAACAAGGATTTAAGTACACATGGGTCTATTCACAACAAGCCCAAAACAGCGGCTTTTGAGGAGACATAACACTGAATGTTTGGCCTTTCACCAAACCAACCCTACAACGCTACAAAGAGCTGTGATTTTCGTCTCCTCGTTCTTTCACTCTCTTGTTTCCCATAAGGCTTGAAATGTGAACTTGAACTGGTATTATGAGTGCGCCATGTGTGCCCGGAAAGTGGAGGCTATTCAACTTTTTTTTTTTGTTTGGATGTTTTTTTTTTTGGTTTTTTTTAAACAGAAGATGAAAAATCTGCCAGCATTGAAGAAAATGCCTAACGAGGCGCACTGACATGATTCTGCTAGGCTGGCTTATGGGGGTAAAGACCCACCAAAGCAACAGATGAGGGAGGAAAAACTGTTCGACAGATGTATCTTGTCCTGGTTTCTTCATCTGTAGGGTATTTAATCGCCTGTCAATTCAGCATGTAAACAACGCTGTAAAATAGAAGCGAATGCCACTTTGCCCCAAGACCAAAATCCTGAAACAATCAGGAGAGAATGCTGAGTCCTGGCCTCGTAAAGATCACATCCATGCAATTTCACAGCAAAATGCATGTACTAAGCAGAGCTGTTCTGACCTAAGATCAGTTTTAGCTGTTATTATTGCATCTCCGCACTGTCATTAGCGCAAAAGGCATTTTACACAGGCGTTTTGCCCGATTTAGTGAATGGTAGGGTGGTGATTTTTATTCATTCTGTTTGGTTTTCTCGATTAAAACAAGAAGCAAAAACAGAAAAGCCAAAATACGGACTCTTTGGTGTTAAAAACATCAGACTTTGTATTAAACATTAAATACTTAGTAGTGATTATTTATTTATTATAATCATTGTTTATATGTTTATATATTTTTGGACTCTTTTCCACAACTTTCACTAACTGTGCGACATAAAACAGCACTGATTTAATTTTTTTTTTCAATTTTCGAATGAAACAGTCTGATTTGAAAGTTTCTCAGCTGTTAAACTAAAATTGAAAAAGTTATTTTCTCTTTCTAAAAATTGATTTATCAGCTCTGTATTCCTTTACTCATAATATCACAAAAACAAGTAACGGCGCAAAAAACAACACGTTACCCTATTAATCTATAAGCACTGATTGTTATTGATGCTGTCACACTCTTTAAAGTACCTAAGAGTTTCATTAAAAATCTATCATCTCCACGTGTAGATTTTTATGTTTATCTATTATTTTATAGCGCAGATTAGGAGGATACATTTCCATTACATTTTCAGCAATCTGAGAAGAAACGCTGTCGTCATTTAGGACTTTGAGTGACGATTTCTTTCAAAATTCATCATCGACTAAGATTTTGTAATAAAATATCCTTCAGATAAACACACGATAAAGATGTTCTGCTCGTGTATTAGCAAACTATTGAGAAGATAAAACCGCTGAATTATTATTGTATGAGTTATAATTAAATACTGCGAAAATGTATTTTGTTACTATAAAAACAGAAGCTTTAAGATTTAGATTTTTGTTCCGCATGTCTGTCTCTTCTCTGTGGATGAGTTAATCAAACCTATTTAATCCACATACTTCACCAAATCTGAATATAAAAGGTTTCTTTCAATACACATTTAATCCGGAACCTTTTGTTAAGTGATGTTAACACACTTAATAGAAATGTCAGCTACAGAAACGGTGGTTATAATGTGACACGTTATTGGCCCCAGTGGGGAAATTGTCTTTTGACTTAGACCCCCTTCAGGGAGGTCAGAGGTCAAACTTTTATGGCAGCGGCCTCAGAGCTGGAAGGGATTCACTGTTGTTGCTCAAGGAAACTTCAGCAGAGCAGATAGGCTTAGACTCAGGTCCTCTGAGTCATGAGCACTTTTAAAATGACCCTCAAAAAATTATGGACAAAATGTGCAGCAAATGATGACTCTTTGATTTTGTTGGCAATTTGAAAGGTTTTGTGTGGCCATGAGGAAGACAAAATACAGAACTAATATATTGAAACAAAGGATCGCATTAATGTAACCAGTTAATAATTCACCCCACTTGTTGACTGCAACGGTTGGTAGCTGTCCTAACAAGTGTGTTAGACAGCTGGGTTTTACATTACTGATACACTGCCACTGTAATGTGGAGTCTAAATCAGACAGCAGAAAAAAAAATCAATTGCATACACAATTACATCTTTCGTCTCATATGCACAGAAACAAGAAAAAAAAAGTTAAATCTTTATTTAAGCATCCATATGTTTTGAATGAAGTCATAATCATTAAAAGTTATTATTACATTTTGCATACAGGTCTGAATTCTTTTCAGGGTCTAGTCTTTTTGATTGAGTTTAGTATATATATTTTTAGTGGATACATAGTGTACACCATATGGTTCACATCTAACAAGTAAATGATCCCTTTATTGATCCTGAGGAGACACAAATCCCTCGGTGGTTACATCAGGAAGGACATCCTAAGTAAAAATCTGTCAAATAAAATATACTGCACTACCTGCTGAGGTGGCTCTTTCTGAATAGGACAAGAGCCGAAAGTAACTTTACTGGATCTAAACTGTCAGACTCAGTTAATAGTTAGCGAAGAGGACATACTCTTCCCTCTCTTCTTGTTATAGTTGACATCAGACTGTTCATCAGTGCACACAAAAGAGTCACGTGAAATGGGAAGAACATATTTCAGAATGAAATTCCTCTTTCATAATTTGAAAACCACCATTAAAAAATGAATGCAAACATGTGTCACTGTCAGGAAGAGGAGAAGCTGAAAAAAAAAAAAGAAAAATAGAAACGTTATCCTTCACCTTTGATAAGTTTTACCAAACGATTTTGTGTTTTTAAGTATAAATATAATGCATGGCCTGAATATTATTTGTATGCATTTAAAAATGATATGGATGTCAACATAAATCATTCTCAAAGAAATCTTTGTTATTTTATGAAAATATTTTTAAATTGCATAACTGGTATTATATTTAAAAGAAATCTCCAATGTTTTATGAATGAGGGAAGTTTTTGGCCTTCTTTTAACTATAACATTGATATTGATAGAATCTGAGATACTTACTGCCATAAAAATTTTTTTTAGAATACTTGCCCAGGTCGGACACAGAGATTAAAGTTCATCGTCAGTGTGGTGGTGGTTTGTATAAAAACGTCCTCCTTCTTCATTCCTTACCCAAAATAAACATAGCTAGTTGCAACAAAATCAAAATGCAAAGATTCTAACTATTTCTGATGTTGGTAATGATTAATATGTAGGAGCAAAAAAATGCAATACATATTTGGGATTATAATTAGTTTGGCTGAATAAATTATTTTGTGTTGTGAAACTATAACTTCTAAAATACTGAAAAGCATATTTGGACTTTGGAATAAATGCTGAATACTGAATAAATACTAGTACAAAAACCCATCAACATTGATAGAGTGAGACCATTTGATATACTTTGTTTTAGAATGCATCTTTATGTTTTGTTTAGCTATTTTTCTCTTTTAGTTTACAGCACTTTGAGCTCAATCGCAGTGTTAACATTATTGATGAACCCATTGATTTCACCTTC